TGATAGGAATTGAGTTTTTTTACATAAAAGTTTACTGATGTCAAGTTGTGGTTTTTTGATAGGTTATGAACTTGTTCATCACCAGGTAGAAGTTGATTCATGATTTATCAAACATTTGAATGTAACGTCATCAACATCTCAAATATATCAAATCAAACACCATATTCCTATTTCAACTATAAAATATGTTTCAGACCAAATAGTCAATTTCCAAAAAAATGGTGATTGCATTTGTCATACTAAAAGTAGGAACAATCTAATGATTTTTGTTCTGATTTTATATCAATTTTCTGAAGTATTGTGAAATCTGATAAGGTTCTTGCTCACATTACTTCATCAACTCCAATTTATCTAGAGCCTTGAAAGTCAACTCACTTTTTCTTTTCAGTGGAACAATAAAACAATTTAGTTCGGAAAATATGTTTTCCATTTCCACCTTTCTATTGCTATCATTGCTACTTGGTGAATTTGCTAGAAATAATTAAATTTAGACAATTCCACTTATTTCGAATGACTGTGAAAAAAAAATTAAATTATACTTGAGTAAACAAATGAACAATGAGAGATGACATGAAAAAATTACGAATCTGTAACTTTTGTTAACAATATGACATTCCTGGTATATGGTCTTCTGAATATATTGAAAAATGCATTAAAGGAAACGTTCAAATGTTGAAAAATGTGAGGAATTTCCAGGGGGGGGGGGAGGCGACGGTCCCCAAAATTTGAAAAACATACAGATTTTCTACTTGGAATTCACAGTCATATGTTTCGAGTCACAGTCTGATGCATCTGAAATGAATTTCACATCGTTATATATCGTTTATTTAAAAAAAAGGATATGCTGGCTGATGAATCATGAATTTATCGCTTTTGCATGCAAAAATTTCCATCGATGTTTATTTTTTTTTTTTCACATGGAGAGCATCAGAATATGCAGCTGCCCTATGCCGCTGCCCATACATGTCCATATAAAACTTTCAATTTCAAGGCACTTGGCAATGAATAAAAATAATTCGCCTGCTGCGCATTTTTGATATCCTAGCTGAAAATCATTGCTATGCCCTTGCTAGCAATCTAGCGAAATCGCCCGGTATACAGTGTGAAGACTTTGACTGGAATAAATTCGTTAGCGGAAAGGTGAATATTTTTTCTAAAAATTCCCGGCATACGTCAACGATTTGATGTATTTACTTACCTCTTGCAAGCAATATCGTGAATATATCCCTCCAGGGGTAGCTGAAACAACCCTCAACATGATTTTTTTCAAATGTAACCCTACGGCTTGTGACCCCTCATTGAAAAGCTAGTGGAAAGAGGAATCCAGCGTACAGCGTACTAGTCAAATTTCAGTTTCTCATACTTTGAAAGGTCGCATAAAAGTGAAATGTAATTTTAAAATTCATTTTTTTTCTTCAACGCATCAATCGCTCAAAATGTGTGTTGAACAATTGATGGCAATTTTTTGCCACAACTGCTATCCGCTATTGTATTCCAGTGTTTTTATAGAGCCGCAAAAATAAATTTTGTTTTTTTGCCGTATTCACAGTTCGAAACGAAGTGTTATTGTAAACTGGTGGAGATGCCCTATATCACTGTCACTAAAAGTCGAAATTTTGATAAAAATACGTTGAAAATATATCAAACTTCAAAATTATATTTTGATTTTATGCGACTTCCAAACTGAAATATGATCAGTACGCTGGATTCCTCTTTCAACCAGTTTTCCAATGAGGGGTCGCAAGCCATAGGGTTGCATTTGAAAAAAACATGTTGGGGTTGATTCCAGTTACCCCTGAAGGGTTATATTCTCCATATTGCTCGCCAAATCTAGGTAAACACATTCAGAAAACTCATTCACTCCCCCAGTAGTGAATTTATTCCAGTTAAAGTCTCCATCCTGTATATAATCCGATCCGATATCCGGCGAGATACAAGCTCAGATGTCCGGACCCACAGTGATCGCATGCGCATGCGCATCACATATATCTATCATTTATCGACTGAGTTTCGTGCAATTCATTGGCGCAAAACCGGCACGTCGCGGGGGTAGGTGTAGCGTACGCGAAAAATCATTGATCCGACCTGAAAATGAAAATTTGGCAACGCGCCGCGCGCATGCCGGAAAATCGCAGTCGGTTGTGGACGAATGCGGAAGCTGGTCTGCAACATCCGGGAGAAGCACCCCCACTCCTGGAACGTGGGCGGAGGAAATGGAAATTCTAAAGTGCTGGGACTGTTGGGATGGAAACAAACACCGCATCATGTATCATGTCGATGTCGCCAGATGCTGGAACAATACGAGTTTGGAACAGGGTCCAAAGTATACGCGGTCTTTTGGATAGTTCTCATTTCTCGCTCATTTTATATGAATAATTATAGGTAGGTCTTCAGCCAATTTTGTAGATTTGGCTACATCTTTATTTTGATAAAGTACCACAGCCCAACCACGGTCATACAAAATGTATCGTTATCGTTCGTGAAATTTTTGCATATAAAATGTATGTAATTAGCCCAATATTGTTCTAAAATTGTTCTATCCGTCATTCGGTTGCCCCCTTACGAGCAACCCTCAGAAGTCTTCGAGAGTCTTGTGAGAGCAAAGAATGACGGGGGCTTTACCTTTTAACGTGTGATCCCAAACACTTGGGCCATCAGAAAAATTTCTGCAGTCGCTGGGAATCGAACCCACGACCGGCAAGCGAATGCGGATTAGAATATTGACACTCTGGCGGCTCTTTAGAGGAGACAACGGAGGCTGAGCCTCCTCAAGAATTTCCATACATCGAATAGTTCGATATACTTGTATACAATATTACACCAAAATAGGTAACTTACGTTCATATTATCGGTTGTATTTCCCGATATCTAGTAGAATTTGAGAATTTGGCAAAGTTTTCGATATCTCAGGTTTGTATTCATATTATTCTGATTGCATAATTTTGCTCATATGAATATTGTGTTTTCCATTTATTGTCATTAGCATTAGCTTAACATTGCGAATGAATTACCCAAAAAGAGTTCTTGGAAATATGCAAGTACTTACCAAAAACATTGGATTTCATTTACGTCTACATTTCGCATAGATTTTCAATGAAGGATTCTGATATAAACAGAAATTGTTCGAATAATTCTGATTGCAACAAAATTCGAAAGTGACAGATGACAGTTCCTACAATTGACAGGCCGGACAAGACTCGAACGACTGAAGGTGTGTTTAAAAAACTCTGTTGCCATGGTAACGTGTTTAGTGTTATATCTGTACGCTGAATGCATTATCCACCTTTGCTGAATGCTATTTTAGTTATGTGAGTAGAAAATAGTAATTTGTGAATATGTTTCATGCGATTTTTTGAATTCAACTTTTGAAACCTAGATATAAGGAAACAATCTACTATTTCTCTGGTTCCTGGCCATTTTCATGTTAGTTCTTGACCACCATCCATCAGATTTATTAACAAGGAAATGAGATGATTTAAAAAAAATACTTGACATGTAAAGATCATAATGCAAAAATCATTTCATACTTAGGAAGACATCAAAAAACTGAAAAACTGAAAAAATATTAATTTTCAAAAATAGGAACCTAATGGTCATTGCCATTGCCATTGTTTCTGATTCCTAACGGATCTATGAACAATAAAAATTAATATAAAGCAATTTATAATGTTCTGCAGCTGCAATAGGTACATACTTTATGGTATTGAATGTGGTGAAAATTTTAATGTAAAAATCATTTCATACTTAGGCATTATAGAAATACACAGATTCCATGTGGTCGAGCAGTATCATTCGGAAGTCTTTGGTTATAGGGTGGAGACCTGCTGTATACTGCGTGTCCCCCTTCTATATATCAGTTATTAGTCCTGCGATCTTTACAAAATTTGGACCGGTATGAATAACCATCAATATGATCAGTTTTTTAGAGACGAACATCATTTTCGACAGTATCGTACGTTTTTATTATAATAAAAAGAGGTAAATTTTTTCAAACTATCCTCATAATATTGTTCTTCATGGTTTCAAGCCTCCATTTGTACATTTCATATGATTCCCATAAGGGGTTTAAAAAATACAGGCATATCTATATCTAAGCAGCATTTTTGCGAACGTAATAATTAGGTATTTATTCGGAAACGGTGGGTTCAACATTAAATAGTATATCTTGTTTTTTCTTCCAAATCATGATTTTCTTCCTACCAGATCCATTGAACGTTTCAAAATTTGCAGATAGTTATTGAAAATGAAAAAATCAAGCTAATCCTGTTAATTCAGAATGATGTGAATTTTTGCATATATGGGTTCGAAAGCACGAGCAGCAATAATATGAAGTTAGTTTTCTTGCAAAAAAATACCTAATATGATTTCGTAAAAATCGGACCATTTTTATTTCAATAAGAAAGCACGCCATTGTCCTAGAGGGTGTTCGTCTCTGAAAAACTGATCATATTGATGGTTATTCATACCAGTCCAAATTTGGTACGAATCGCACGACTAATAGCTGAGTTATTGAGAAGAGGGGGCGTAAAGTGAGTATATTCATTTTCTAGCACATTACTTGGAGAATAATTAGGTTGGTTTCGAATTTTGATACAAAGTTCTTCATTCAGGAAAAATAATGTGAGTACTAGTTTAGCAGTCGAACATATCAAACACCATGTATGAAGCTGAACTAACTAGCACGATTTCAATCGGTACTTCAATTCAACTGGGCCCAAAAAAAAACAGTTTGATTCCATTTATTGAATCAAAACTTGTTAGTTTGGAGACAGCTCTGCACGGTTCACTGTCGTGTTGAACTCAACAGCGCTGCTTCAAAGATGACCTGTGGAGTTAGTAAGAAGGCATACACTGAAAACTCCGGACTGCAGCACATCGGTCACACACCAACCATGTACACAAACTACTACTATTTTTCCTCTTTATTTACAGGAACGATTCCATCTGACTGAACATGCTGCGATCACAAGTATCACAACCATGCAAAATCAACGCCTTACCTTTATCGTTTTATTCTGTAATCTGAGTCCGTTCAGTGTGTTGATGGCTTTTTCTGCATCTTCTGGTCGATGATAATTTACGAATCCATAGCCCAACGATTGCCCTGTAAGCAACGGACTAGTCAGAACCCCGGGAACTGCGGAAATTAAAAATTCCGAAAAAAACACGTGTTAATAACACAAAAACAAACCAAAAATACGAAATCAAATAAATGTTAATAAATCTAGTGCTTTCAAAAAAACATGTCGATGCAATAGATTGTTTCATTTAGGGGTGCCATACTATGGAGTCAATTAAAAGAACAATAGTTTCAACAGTCATCGAAATGTTTTTTTTTTAATTATTAAATGGTTATGGATTAGTTTCTCTTTAGAAATAAATAGTGAAAAATATTTCAGCTGATTCTACCAGTAGCTAACAAACAAAGCAAAAACATAAAAAAATTATCATCGATATCAGAGCTGCACGGAAATAAAAAAGCAGCGCCTACGTAGAAAAATAGTTAGTGATAGACCTCTGGCGCTCCCATCTGATCAGCCTTTTTTATCTCCCTTATGCCAAATATATAAGCGCGTGAACGTGAAAAAACTTGAAAAAGCATGTCGCATACGTTAAAATCGTGAGAAAATGTGCTTTTTTCACGTTTTCCAAATGTTTCACGAATACGAGACCCTTTTACTCGTCTTTTCATGATTGCCAGCTCATAATATGTTTAGCTTGGCTTAGAAAGCTAATATGTATACTATTACATACAGGCGGATTCATATAAAAAACGTTGGTTAGCGGAATTTTAGATTGTATTTTTCGAATTCTGTGGATGAATGAAAATATTGCTAAATTGAGAGGAAGCTCTTCAACTGAACTAGTTTTGAATTCATTAGGCCGTTTATATTGCCATTGATAGTGGAATGTATAGAATACTTAAACTTGGTAAGAAACCGCTAAACTGATGGCATAACACGAAACCAATGGATTTTATTGAAAAAGTGTCAATATAGGCTCTATGCAAATTCTTGCACTACAAGGTTCATTGTAAGATCAATCTATCAATTGGGCTCTAATTGATGGAACATTCATGTTGCAATTTCCCTAATTGCAGGAGCATTTATTCCTAAACTTCCCTAATTTAGAAGTTAGCCTAATTGCAAGATTATAATATCTATCAATCAAGCTTTAACTGCAGAAGTTTCCAAATAATATACATGGTGCTTATAATTTTTTGCAAATGATAGAACACAACATATTGAAAAGCCTATTTGGAACATCCGTTATTTATTGGATTTGGACCAACCTATATATTTATAATGGTTGATTTGAGAAAACCCAATCACGAATCTGTGATTGGAGATTTTTTCCATCGTTCAAGTTTGAAACCATCGATTGGGTATGGAAGTATTGGAAAGAAATATAATATGAACATAAAAAAATTAATACATATGAAATACACTGAGAATTCGCATTATTTATCTGATAGAAATATTAATTCTTTATCGGTATATCCAACAGAAAACAACTACTTTCCTGGCTATATGCTTCGACGAACATTGAATTACATCTATATATTGAACACACACAATAAGAATTTGAAATAAAATCTTCTGTAGTTGAGAACTCCGTTCAACAGAAAACAACTACTTTTCTGGCTATTTGCCACGTCGAACTTTGAATTACATTTGTTGAACATCCAAGAGGAGGATATGAAAATAAAAATTTTCTGAAATTGAGAATTGACATTCTCTTTCAAATCGGATAAATAATATGATGTATAATGATGTAAAAATATAAGAAATGCTGAAAGAATAACTGGAATCCAAGTTACTGAGGAGGGTTTGGTACACGAAATGAGTTCATTCGAATTAAGTCATATTACCTGTTTGTGAGAAATGTATCTCCACCAGCACTGATACGAATTACTTTAAACTTTGAATTCATCAAGATCAGAGTTTGTACAAGACGTTTTTCTATACATTTCAATTTCCATTTCAATGCTGAATATAATGGTAAATAATATTTTTATATCATTATAAATCATATTATTTATCCGATTTGGAAGAGAATATCAATTGTCAATTTAAGAAAATTTTTATTTTCATATTCTGCTTTTGGATGTTCAACAAATATAATTCGTCGACGTGGCAAATAGCCAGGAAAGTAGTTGTTTCCTGTTGAATATTCAGAATGATATTATATACATTCAATATATATTTTGATCTGAAAGAGAATGCAAATTCTCAACTTCAGAAGATTTTATTTCAGATTCTTATTGTGTGAGTTCAATAGATGTGATTCAATGTTCGTCGTGGCCGTGGCAAATAGAGAGGAAAGTAGTTGTTTTCTGTAGAAAAAGCCGAGAAAGAATTAATATTTCTATCAGATAGAAGATAGAGAATGCGGATTCTCAATGTATCTCTTCATATACAGAGAAGTACATAAAAAACGGCCAGGACTGTAACTTTTGAATTATTCGAGATATGGTTTTGGAAATGGAAAACTGGAAGTGATAGAAGAAAAATTGTTTCACTTGCTAAGTTGCTACCCACCAAGCAATTTTCTAAACCCTATATCTAAAATAATTCAAAAGTTACGATCCTTGTCGGTTTTTGTGCACTTCTCTGTATGTATCAATGTTTTTCATATTCATATTATATCTGAGAATAATCTTTTTCAATAGCATCTATAGTTTGTGCGATTGTACAAATTGAACATCAGAAAAATGCATATATCTTGTTTTCTTGAAAATCCGACTTTTCCCATTTAGTTAGAGAAATTTTTTTGAATTAGCAGTTTTTTTTGCTTGGACCCCCCACCCCTCGAAAAAAAAACCTGGGCACTGCCTTGGGTTACATTCACAAAGTCACCCAAAAATTATTCGATCCGGATAAGGGTGTAGTTCCATTTGAAACCATGAAAACAAAAAGGACTTTTCAACATATTGGGTTCTCCCAAATTGGGATGGAATTATGATCATCATTTAAAAAAGGATTAGTGTTAGTGCTTGAATTATCTTTGTTGGACTGAGCAAATTTTCGTTGAATCAAACACATACTTGGTCATTTCAGAGGCGCAGCTTGTTCAAATCAAAAATGTAGTTTAATTAAATTATCAGTATAATATCAATTCCATCAACACAATATGAAATATGATCATCTCAGATACAAACTATGTTAATCCAAAAATAATGTCGATGTTGATTCAACGATAAACATTTTGTAGATTTGATAAAATAATGATCACTTTGATGTGAATATATCTTTGAAACAACATACAAAGTTTTCTTATTCCGATGTAGCAATAAACTAAGTTTCCTCGGTAGTTTCGAACTGAACATTTGCTTGAATAGAGCAACGAAATACATAATATCAATGGAATATTTTGTCATTCAACATCAGGTTAAACTTTCACCACTAGATGGCTATCTTCAGTTTTGTCGGTTTGATCTCTGGGCCATGCACCTGCATAAATGAAGCCTGTTCTTCGTTTTTGAAATATCAGAAATAGAACTGGAGACTGAAGATCTATGCTAGAATTCGACTAGTCCCCTAGTTCTTTATTCCATTGATGTGAAAAATTAGTAAATTCCTGAATCAATACTGAATTTGGTTCAACAAAACAAATTTTGTCAAATTGAAATACGAGTTTCTCTTGAATCAACGAAATATTACAATGAATCTTGTTATTTTGAATCAAACAAAATGATTGTTTGGGCCAATTCAATATCCCTTTATGAACAATTCATGTATGTGTTTTATTGAATGGGATCCAGAGTTCATGTAAGACATATTTACTAGAAACAAACTTAAAATTTGCTCCGAAAACAAGACATAGTTTTACTTAATAGAAGATTATACCGAGGATTATATTTTGTCGTGCATACCGGGTGACACAGGGTATCGGCCACCCCTGTAACTTCTTCATTCGTTTACGGAATTTTCTAAAATTTGATACAGATATATAAGCAACTATTTCGGATTTGATCACACTACAATCCAATATGGCGGACTCCCGATTTTCCTGGAAATGCCAGCAACTTTGTTTTTTCTAATGAAACACCCTGTGTATTTTCACATATTACAGTTCAACAGTGCAAAACAAGTGCAACCTTTATGCCGAATGTCTTTTTTCTTCGAAGATATTGAAATTATCCGAACTGCAAGAAAATGTATGAACTACTTTTGATTTTCGAATGTATACAAATTGTTACTGCACCGTGATACAATGTGCGACTCATTGGGAATAGCCTTGACTACATCTCATTTATCCAGGAGGTAAAATAAAATTTCAATTTCAATTTTTTCGAAGTTTTTTACAATAAATAAGGGATTCAGGAAAAACATATATCAAATACATGCCAAAAATGGCCCGCCATATATTTCGTTAGTAAATATTGGTACGCCAAGAAAAAGTTTCCCCATCCCTGCTCTAGAACATACATTAAGGAAAAAAATGACATATCATTTTCGTATCTCGGTGCAGTAACAAATTGTATACATTCAAAAATCAACAAACAAATTTTCATTCGCCAAAAAGATTGCACTTGTCTTGAACTGTTGAACTGTAATATTTAAAAATATACAGGGTGTTCCATTGAAAATACAAACTTGCTGGCATTTTCTGAAAAACCGGGAGTCCGCCATATTGGATTTTAATGTGATGAAATCCGAAATTGTTTCAGAAAAATCCGTTCAGAATGAAGTTACAAGGGTGGTTTGATACCCTGTGTCATCCGGTATATTATGACACTTATATTCGCTTAATTGAAACAAAATGTTGCTTGATTCAACGATTCCTTTTTTCCGTGTAGATAGAATTTTTTCATTATAACTTCATCCATTGAAATTCATGTGGATTATTTTTTATTCAATTCCATTCGAATTTATTCGATGCAGCTCAATAATAGTCGAGCTTTTTTATTCAAATGTGGGAAATATGTGATAACATTTGACGGAAATTCTATACAGGGTATGTCACGACGAGCTCATACTATCTCTATATCGAGAATCAGTCGGGAGAAATCCATGAAAATATGCATGCTTATATTTTAGAATACGCTCTTTTCATTTAAAATATTTACGGCAATGCAGTGTTGCCGCTTCTATCAAAAAGTAGCAACAACTTTATTATTTCAAATAGAATAAC